AGTATATAGTCCATGTGTAAAAATAAAAATAAAATTAACAGCAGCACCATACGGTCGATTTTTCGCAAAGCTAACAGACGAATAAGCTGGCAATCAGAGTTGCCAGATATATTTTTACTCATTTTAACTCATTTGTAGCCTTGAGAAAAAAATAAATATTTTCGAAACGTCGGCAATTTTTCTTAAAAAAAGGAAGTTGTTTTTATTTTACGTCCAAACCCACGAATCTTACTTCAAATAAAAGAAAAAAATTAAAGGACACACACAGGGCCGGCGACAATAGCGGTGCTCGCGGGCTCAAGCACCACACGTAAAGGAAAATGGTGGTGCTCAGCACCACACGTATCTTCAGCAGAAAAATTGCATTTCTTTTGCGGTATCTAAATTTTTTATCCTGGTAGCCAGGGATACACACTAACACCCTCTACAAATTTACGGTTGAAGCTGGGGAATCCAAAGTTTAAAGCATGGAGCCTACACAAGGAGCCCGAACTTAATAGGGAAAATTGACAAAACCTGCCCTCTAAATTGCACAAATTAAGTCTTTTTTTTTCACCACCTGCGGCGCTGATTGTTGATGCGTCCTGACGTCTGCTCTTTTGGTAGCGTTTCGGTACAAATTAGTCAATTGTTTCAGAATAAACGGGACACCAGCGCCTACTTTCTTTAGGAAGATTCTTGTTTACATGCAGTTCGGACTCCTTATGTAGGCTCCATGGTTTAAAGTATCAAAGTCGGTCGGTATAGTATGTATAAGTGTATGTATCTTGGTATAGTAGGAATAACATACCGACACGTCCCGACGTGTATTTAGGGTATTTCTACTATACCGACCAAACTTTGAGTTATATTATTATTATTATTTACAGTTCGTGCAGTTTGTTTATTATCTCTGAGTTCCTGTTTGCTACTAACCAATTGTGTTAGTGGATAGATACCCGACTTTTTATCAATAAAGGTAAGTTCGAATCCTAGAGTAACTCTGTTTTAATTGTCTCTCGTAACAAAATCTAGAACGATTATTTTAAACCCGTATTTTTGATGCTGGTAACCCTTAATCCAAGAAATGGCAGGTGGTAACCCTTAAAACGTCCGATGTGGCAGTAATATACCTATCCCATTCGATTCCATTACAGGGCGAGTTTTTTAACTTGAAACTTTAAAATATCTCTCGTAGGTAATAAGCACGGTTGAAAAAACTATATAAACTAAATTTAATCAATCCGGGGGGGGGATATATTAGTGCTAAAATTAGTAGTGTGCTCTCCCTGTATATAAAATCCCTGTTGTAAATGACCGATTAATTTCTGTAGAAACCAATTGAAGTATTGGTTGGTATCAATGGATCTGAATTGGACTTACTGGATTTAATTGGGCGCGATATAAAACAGAAATTGGTTTTTACTGCTATTTTCCATGATGGAAAAGTCAAATTAGGATTCTAATGGTTTTTATTGGTTTCGATTGGATAAAGCTACCTATAGGTAATTTCCAATTGAATTTAATTGGGCATTCCCAGTGTAAGATTCGAAAAATCTGCTAATTGGTTATTCCCAATTCAATACAAATATCGCAAGAGGGCTATCAACGAGGTTGAGACGCCATCATAAAGAAAAAACAACAAGTCTTTGGACGCCATTTATTGGAGGTTTTTTTTATTAGTCGATTTCAGTGTTAAGTGCCTAGTGTTAGTAGTGTACTATATATTAAAAAAATGTTTATATGTGTATGGTTTAAACCTAATTAGGGACGATGGCGTAAGAATGTAGTTTTTACCCGGTTATCCTTCTGGGATCTAAAATTATTTTTGAACGAAAAATAAACTGGTAGGTATTTTCTAATCCAAATTTTAAAAAATTAATTGGTTTTAATTGGTTGGAATGGGTTTGGCGCTATGAATTACCAATTCATTCCATGTGCATTTCTATTGGATTTAGCCAATAGAGACAAGCATAGGCAGGGATTGGTATTTTCCAATTCAAGCCGCTGACTTCATTGGAAATTACCAATAGGAATTCAACTGGAATGAATTGGTGATTCATAGCGCCAAAACACATTTCAAACCAATTCAAACCAATTACTTATTTTTTATTGGATTCTATTGGTCATTTACAATAGGGATGTGACTGAGTTCGATAAATAAATTGACTAAAAAACTATTCCAATTTTATTTTGTTCTCCTTCCCGCAACCCCCAAGGAAAAGAACACCCACACCCCCCATCAGTGGTGGCTGGTGGATTTTGGGTATACCGATATCTCAATTATTAGATATGGGACCCACACCAAATAAATATAGGTAATATAAATTTAATTGGTGCAATTTATTATTTACCATAGTTTATCGACAAATTTCAAATTTTATTTAAAAAATCCAAATAATACAGATTTTATATCATTTTAAATTTTTATTATTTCTTTAAAAAAAAATATTAAAAATTTAAAATGGTATAAAATCGGTATAATTTGTATTTTTAAAATGAAATTTGAAATTTGTCGATAAATTATGGTAAATAATAAATTGTATCATATTAAATTTATATTATATTTATTGGGGGCGCCATGGGGCCGGTACGGCCGAGCAAAAATTTATCTTTTTTTCGCAAACTTCAAATTAAATTCTGCTTGCGCAGAACTTGTTTATTTAATGTCATTATAAACTCATATAAATTTGGTGTGGGTCCCATATCTAATAATTGAGATATCGTTATACCCAAAATCCACCAGCCGCCACTGCCCCCCATCCATTAACCCATAGACAAGGGATTGGTTGGGTGGGCGGGGGGTTAGTTAGATAGGCAACTTAGTATTAAAGTTTTGTTCCCTGACTACTGCGCCATCTAGCGAGTGTAGTCAAAAATATATATTAAAATTATTGTTTAATTTTTTTTACTGGATGGTACTGATCCTTTTTTTACCTCCACTAGATAAATAATTCTAATATTTTTCTAGGAAAGTTCAAAGAGGAATAATAAAACATAATAAAACTACATTTTTGTAATTATTTTATTTGTCATATATAAAGGCAAAAATTCAAAACACAACTTAAAATTATATCTACATCATATGAACTTATATAACTATTTCATTCCTATTCCTATAATATTATTGTATAAGGTAAAATAAATTTATAAATAAAAGAACAATAAAAATTTTAATACTTGGTGCTTAGAGAATCAACATATTTTTTGTTATTTGGGCAAAAAGCGGGACATACCTTATCGTTTTTTGGAAATCGATGCATTTTTACACTATCTCCCCTGCTTTTGTACACAATTAGAATAAACCATAATAGCATTGTTCGCGGAGCTCATCCGTGATCAATCCGCGACAACTGCGCATGCGCACTGGCAATTTTAGCGTTCGCGGTGTAAAAATCGGCAACATTTGACATTTGATCACTCGTTCGCGGAGCCTTCGGGACCGGTTTCGAACTAATTACTGACAAGTCAAAACGATCGGAGGATTTTAGCATGTACTAGCTGTCAGACATGCGTATTGTTCATTATTACTTAAAGTTTATTTTAGGTTATATGTTCTATATTGTTTTTAATTAAATTGTTAAACGAAAACGTAAGTTGAAATACTTATTTTTTACTTGCATTGTTCATTTCCTTGCTTATTTTATAGATGAGTGATTATCTATCATCCAGTGATGAAGATTTAGAAAATAGGTAGTTTAGATTTATTGAAGTTCCTAAAAATACTGCATATTTTGAAGAAATTGTTCCCATGTTCGATGATCAGCTATTTAGGGAGCATTTTCGAGTTAGCAAAGAGATTGTTGTTGATTTAGCAGAGCGATTTAGCAATTCTGAATACTATAATTATCAGGAAGGAGATTCCCCAAAAAGTTTTGTCACAAAACAGCTGACTGATGGTTGCGGTTAGAAACGCGTTCGCGGAGATTTGTTAATTCTTGATCGGTTCCGAATCGCGCATGCGTACCATGGTTCGTGATTATTTACCCTATACAGATACGGAACTAGTCATGGATGGGCTCCGCGAACAAAGCTAATAATGAATACACAATACAAACTTAAAAGGTTTTAAAATTTAATACTTCACAAGTCGAATTATTATGACAACTGTCATTATGACAACGGTAGTCTCGGTGACAAAAACAATTTTGGCGACATTAGCGCCTCTGGTAAGCGTAGTCTAAACTTCTCAGCGGACAAGTTTTTGTACAGTAAAGATGCACAACCATGCATTAACCACTGCTACCAACAACTGTAGATGAGCACCACACGTCAAAATGAAAAGCTGCCGGCCCTGGACACACACATCATTGCAATTACAATATTGTTTATCCTTTTTAACTTAAATATAACATAACACCTTCAAACAAGAAATATTCTAATTGCAATACCAAAGGTAACGCGATCCGAATTTGTTTATCTAAAAAATTGACATTTCTATTAATTTTTAAAGTCGAGCGCTACTACACAAACGCCTATGCCGCGTGAACTTCAATCGCTTCTCCTGTAAAACTCGATTTTAGAGACTTTTCTCGGATTGCGTCACAAATTTATCTGTAATTATAATCGTATACAATTGTATACAATTACAATATTTGTTGTCTTATTAAAATTGTTAATTAACTTCTTTATTTACTTGCCCCTTCAATTGTTATTAAATTATATATTTCTTTTAAATAAAATAATGCAAAAAGTACGTTCCCCGTGCACGACCATAATATTATGCCTGCAAATCAAATCAAATCAAAACTAGGTTTATTTACATTCAAAAAGTCTATAAGGACATTTTATTTTTCTACAAACCATATTTACATATATTTAAAAATTGTACTGGGGCACATTTTTGTATATTTGGGGAGCCAGAGCTCGTGTCATTGGTACAGGCGCCTAGGCGCGCCTCTGCATCGATGTACGATGGTTTTTCAGGAGATTATGCCTGCTGCTGCGCCCACGAGGCCTCATAAATTCATAGTTAGCGTTCCTATAAAAATGCATAATTTAATAGGTATCATCTTTTTTAGGAAAAAATTTGGAACACGGTCTAAAAAAAGAGGGATTGCTTGCGTTTGTAAGAGAATTGGATGGAAATGATAACGACTCAATTGATAATTACTTAAGGGATGCCAGTATGTACGCACGAGGTAATATTATTAACCTTATAATATAATAAGTATAATATCAACATTATTGGCGTCAAGTTAAGGTCCTTAACGGAGCCCTTATAAATTATTTATTATTGTATTAATACAATAATGTATTCATATTGCTAATTTAAAACATATAGGACGAACAAAAATGCCAACCAAAACTGATAGCATATTGTGATTATGGACCAGCCATACTGCAGGCCGCGGTCACTACACAAACGCCTATGCCGCACGAATTTCAATCGCCTGTCCAATAAAATTTGACTTTTGGATGCTAGGTTTCTTTTCTCGCATTGCGTCACACAAACAAACATTGCGTACAGATGTCACCTTGATGACGGTTTACGTAGTTTATGTAGTTTGCTATAATTTCAACAGTCAGCATGCCATAAATTTTATATAACGTTTAAGTGTTGAGTTTTATTGTAATATAGGACGATTCGGCGCGCCGCGGCGGGCCCCTCATGTAGCAGTCATATATGACGTATACGTATTTGGCCCGAAAAAAAATATTTGAGTGTGGCTGTTATAGACCCTTTTGGTAACATAAAAATGTATTTATTAAAATTAGGATGATCCAAATTCTTCAGATCAACCGTTTCAAAGATATCAGCGATCAAAAATAACACTAATAAAAAATTATGCCATATTTATATTATTTTTTATGTAAAATCACTTTAATTCTGTTTATCTGAGACTTTACATAAAAAATAATATAAATATGGCATTTAATATTTTTTTTGTATTTTATTTCAAAATATTTGAAATTTTTATTAGTGTTATTTTTGATCGCTGATATCTTTGAAACGGTGACTTTGACCTTCAGATGTTTTGTGTAGAGCGTGAAATTGTTTATAACTCCTCTCGCTTGGGTGTTGCGAAAACAAACCATTCCAAAGTTATAAGAATTCAATTAAAAAAAAAAATCCCGTTTTATTGAAATGGAAAAACAACAAATGAATTGAGGCAAACCTTAATATTAATACTAAGGGCTCAAATAGGCGCCAAAATTTTTGTTTTTTAATGTACTATTAATTTTTCAACACCATTAGAAAAAAACAATATTTGTTTTTTTTAAACACCCTAATATATATGTAGCATCGGAATTTTCCCAGGCTCTGTGAGAAGAGATTTAAAGACTTTTATTTATCTAGGTTAAAATTAGGCGTCAAGTGTTTAAGTTCAATACGGTGTTTTCGAACGACCGCAAGGGTCTAGGACTGATAATATGTGTGTGAAAGTGTAGATAACGTAAAAGACTAAAATAGATGCGTGGGAATGTGAAGTAACCCCAAAGATTTGTAATAGTACCTAAGTCAGATTTACCGCGACCGTCGCGACGGTCGGTGTATTAAGACGTATTATATTTACTTTTAGTTTCATTTGTTGTTTAACTTTATATTTTTAATAAACGACTACCTCCTTTTGAAGTACACAGGTAGGTCTTTTGGTGTTGGTTTGCTACTTTAGATTCCGAGTCCCCGTGTACTTATCCGGGAGACAAATGCCTCGCCACGGCTCAGGCAATGTGCCCGCTTGCCGCGGCGGGACACCTATCTCCTTTCAAAGTACACAGGTAGGTCTTTATAAATGAGGCCATGTTTTATGATATCTGGGTCGCCATGCCTGACGCTAGTGATATTGCGAGTTAGCGGCGATGTTTTTATGCTAACGGCATAGAACTTGTTAGCAAGTTCCATAATATGTTCGATGAGCGGTTGACATTCTGCTTGCTGCTGAATCTCGCCTATTGTGGTGTACCTTGGTGCTCTGGTTATGGTGCGGAGCACCTTGGTTTGCAATCGTTCAAGATGCATTTGTCTGGTTTTGGAGATTGTGCACCAGACAGGGGCTGCATATGTTAGAATTGGTCGCAATACTGATTTGTAAAGCAGCACCTTAGTAGGTGGTGTCAAGGCACTGTCTGGTGATAGCAGTGGATAGATAGCTCTTAGTGCTCCATACATTTTCTTTTTAGTATAATTGAGTTGTTGCTCGAAGTTGAGCCTTCGGTCCATAAACACACCGAGGTATCTAGCGCAGGGTTTTTCAAGTATGGCGTGCCCGTCAATCTGTACATTTTCGAATATCTTGTTGTTGGTAAACTTGCGCGAGAAATTAACCAGCTCTGTCTTTGCTGGATTTATTTTGATAGACCACCTGTCCCAGTAGGCTTTGAGCTGGTCAAGATAAATCTTTACTTGCTTGTTCGCAACTGCCGACGAGAAAGAGTGTGCATAAATAGCGGTGTCGTCGGCGTAAAGAGCTAGCTTACTTCTAGCGAAGTGTGGAATATCGCTAGTGTAGAGAGTGTACAGTTTCGGGGCAAGCACTGTTCACTGCGGGACGCCAGCGTTCACTGTGTATTTTGTAGATAATGTATGGAGCACTTTTACGTTAAATGTTCGGCCTCTTAAGTATGAGTCGAACAGTTTGACTAGGTGTATAGGTAGACCTATAAGGTGGAGTTTATGGATCAGTCCGTCCGTCCAAACCGTTTCAAAGGCTTTCTCCATATCGAGCAGTAACATAACCGTAGACTGGTCTCGATTATATGCCTGCTTGACATCGTGAGCGATCCTTGCGACTTGGTGGACGGTGCTGTGCCCTGGTCTGAAGCCAAACTGTTCGGGTGGTGTGAGGTTTAGCCGCTTGTCTAACTTACTGACCCTGTCTAGTATTAGCCTTTCGGCTACTTTGGACAAGGTGTTCAGTAGACTTATAGGCCTGTAGCTGGTGGCCTGATTAGCGTTTTTACCTGGCTTTAGTATAGGTAATATTATTGCCTCTTTCCACTGCCTTGGGAAGTGCTGCTTTTTCAGTATTGCGTTAATTATGTATGCTAGTTGAACGACTGCTTTCTTAGGGAGATTCTTAAGCAGAATGTTGTCAACATCATCGGGTCCTGGGGCTTTATTTATGGGTAACTTGCGTAAAATGTTTCGCACGTTTTCTGGTGAAGCCATTAATTTAGAATAGTCTCTGTCGCTGATGACTTGCTTCGGAGACATTCTCAATTGCTCTCCATTTTTCATTGCGATCACTTTAGCGACATAAAAAACACAACTCTTCTTTCCTTGAAATTCAACCAAAACATAATCGTTTATTTTGGACTCTCGGTCAAGGTTAAATTTAACAGCTTCTTGAATCTCATCGTCTGATACGTCATCATCTTGTTCTAAAACCACGGAACTCTCTGAATCTGAAGATGAACTTTCTAACACCGCCCTTTTTGTCTTATTCGGAACTTTTCTCTTCTTAGTTTCTTTTTCCATCGCTATTAGATTTTTTTCTGGGGTATCGGTAGCAATTAAACTTCTTTCTTTTTTACGATTCCTTACTGTGACTTTTCTAGGGCCTGCCTTTAGCGGCTGCCGAAACTCTTTTGGAGATACAAATGTCTTCTTTGTATCTCCCACTAACGATGAATCTAATGAGGAAACGACACTTAAATCTAATGGATCATTGATCTTAATGTTTTCATTGACAGGTTCTCGGGTTGAAGGACCTGCCTGTCCTGATCATTATTTATATCTGGTTGGTTATTTTCATCAACTAAGATATAAAGTGGCCGCTCACCTGGATCAATAGTTCCACATGCTACAGGTCTATCGGTGACCGAACTTGGAAGAAAGTCAATATCTGTGAAAATATTCCGATCGAATGGAAAAATACCGATTTTTCTAAATGCATTGGTAATTGTCGACGGCGTCATAGCTTTCTCCTTTCTCCTACCAAAGATCCCACTTCATAAATGCTTACCGGCTTTCCGGGATTTCGGAGCATACAGGAATCCATTGCTGCATTATAATATTGGTAATTATTGGTATAAATGGTTTCATGACCCCAACGTCTAGGGGTTAAGTCCGATGCGTTGTATGGGTCGGCAAGGTAAGAACGTTAACTCCATTTTCTTTTGCGATATCCAGAGCCTCGATTGTAAGATGAGATTCGTGATTATCTACGATTAATAATGACGGATTTTCTTTTGTAGATGAGCTGTATTTTACAAAATGTCTCATAACCTTGACAAACAGTTCCGAGTTCATCCACCCACTGGGGTTTGCCAAGCCTAAAGTGCCAGTGGGGGTTCCATTTATCATGTAATTTTTAAAATGGACCCGCTAAGACCTTTTGAGGTTTTTGCACCCTTGTTGTTGACGTCTCATCTAGGTTAAAAATCCTGGTTCCGTCGGCAAAAGAGGGGTGTCTCTGCAAGATATTAGGTAGATTTTCAAAAAACTTTGCCACGTTAGATCGATTAAAAGCCGTGGCTCGGGCCAAACTGCAACGTTCAGGAGACCGTAAAGTAAGATTTTGATGTCTGCTACGAAAAGACCGCAACCAGTCCACCCAGCTAATTTATTTTCTGTCCATGTTTTGGGCATTCGTATGTTGTTCTGACTTGCCATCTCATAGGCTATTTTGCAACAATCTATGTTTGTTATGCCATAGAATGCATAAGCACATTGAAATAAATTATCTAATAAAGATTGTTCCTGTTCTTCTGAAAAAACTCGGTTAACTTCATATTTGGGAGTTAATTTGGCATTTTCTCCTAGGCGTTCGTGTTTTAAATAGAACCGTCTAAATGTTGGATACAGAATACCCTTTCTCTTAGCAGCTAACCTCAAACTTGCCCTTGATGTTTTAGGGCCAGGGCTTCCCTTCTTTGCTGTTCGGTGTGCGTCCCTATTTTTCTCTCTGTTTTTTTGCGAGCCATGCTAAAACAATAAAAAATAGTAGTGGTAGCTCACAGTGAACCACTGGTTTAACGTGTACTGGTTCACTGTTAAAATACGTCGTCTCTAATAAAAAACCAAAAAAAAAAAACAAATTTTGTCGAGATATTTTTCGATAATTTTAATGTGTCCCAACCATTTAATAAACAAACAATACCACTACATAATGTATATTAAAAAACATAAACCGCCACGTGTCAAAAACTTTCAAGAAATATACTTAAAATATTTACTATGCTTACCTCAAATCACATACATTCCCACTGCACGCGCAAGAAACAACTGACGAGAGGGAAATAAAAGGATGATATTTATGACGTCTTAATACACTCTGTTAAATAGGTCACGTTCGCAAATTAAGTTTGGAGGGGATATATTTGGAAATGGTTCACTGTGAACGGTGGTTCACTGTTGGACAGTTTACAATAACTGATTTTAATACGTAAATGTATTCAGAAACGCATTAACTTACTTACCTACTTACTAGTAGATGGTTCTATTAACTTCACAAAGGTACCAAAAGTTTACATTAACTAAAGCGAACCAAACCAACCAACAGTAAATGTACTTTACTAATTTGTCACGTAAATGTATACACTAGCTAGTTTTTGTATACATTTACTGACATATATAATTCGAAGAAGGTTTTTTTGTGCTTGGCGTAATTGGTTTGCCTTGGCACGAAGCGCCTCGGCTCAGCCGAGTCGGCAGCAATCTTTTGAGCTCAGCACAAAAAACACACATCTCCTTCTAATGACACAATCTACCTACTATTATATTATCCCTGATTTAAAAAATTAATGGGAATCTCGAAGTCTTCCATTAAAAGTATTTTAATTGTTATCTACCAAAAAAAATATAAGTAGGTATAAAAAAATTTCAGAACTTTAAAAATTAAGTAAAGTTGACTTAAGTTTTTATTTTTAGTGGTTATTTTAAGTGTCCGAGGGCCTCTTGTACGCAAATTTATGATAGCTGCGCATGGCTTGGACATGACCAAAGGAGATTATACATTTTTGGACGTAGAAATCTTTCCGGTAATTTAAAAGTCCATGTTTTTATAAGAATGAAATATCTAACCAGTTTTAGGGATCTTATTGGGGCGACCATGACTGGGAAACAGGAGATGAACAAGACGCAACCGCTAGAAAAGCCTACGAAGCTCTTTTAAGGGTTTCTTTACTTCAGCCTGCAAATGACGATTTTCAAATCTTCGCTGAAAAGGTCAAGGAAAGATCCCTGAGGGACTACAATTACAGTATTAGTGATGGGGAAGAGGTAAGTCTTACTTACTTAAATGAGACGAACCGAGCTTCTGTTTAAAAAGTACCGCGCAGCACAAATGTGATCTTTTTTACATTCCACATATTCAAAACTCCTTACTAGAACATATCGTCATCAATTTCTTAAATATTATACATACATATTTTAAAAATCTTCCCAAAATATTTATCTGGTTCCGCGCCTGAAAACATTTTAATTCAGCTTTAATTCAGAATAATAGGCGTTAAATATACAATATATTTATAATTTAGAATGGGAGTTATTGCTAAACCATGGTGCACCGACGATATTGGCTGAACCACTTTGGGTATAAGTTTGGGTATGGGTTTTAATGATGTATTGAGATGAGCTTGGGTTTTATTTTAATCGATTGACAAACTGACAAATGATATCAATTTTGTTGTATGTGCGTGTGTGCACGCCAATCTTCATAATGGCTTAACCAATTTCAATGATGTATTGAGATAAGGTTGCGATAACATGTTAGTGTTTGTTTAATTTAAATCGGTTGACAAATTATAAGGAAAAGGCGATGTGCGGCTGTTATAAAGAATAGTAATGATCTTTTGTGCTTTATTACTTAAATTGGATATACTGAATTTTAGCGGGGGACATTAAGGTTATATTACATACTATAGTATGTAATACAACGTTAATATTTTGATACCTATAACTTTTAACCACAAGGAACCAAAAACTATTTGTGCCTTTCAATTAGTTATTTGTACGAAACACTTTTAAATTTACCTTGGTTCAAAATTCTCGTCGATAATTGTGGTACCTTCACTACTAGTATTATCTCTGCTTCTTGGGCTGGGTTATAAATAATATTTATTAAATATACACTCTTAATCACTTTATAATTATTTATTAAATCTCAATAGGTTAATTAATCGCGCAATTCATAACTATGTGTAATGTTTATAATGATGAGTCAACCACCGGTCGCCACAGACATCGTTAAGGAATACTATTGTCGAAGAAGCCCTTAAAAATTTAGTTTAAAAAATGAATGGGCAGATCTAGGGAATTTTTTTATAAATGCCAATAATAATATTAAAATTTCTCATTCTAATAAACAACGAGGATATTTAATATTTTAAACTTTTACAAATAGTTTTTTCTAAAAATCGTGTAAAATTAAATAAAAAAATTGTATTCATTGGGGTTGTAGGCTACAACTTGTAGCACTAATGCTAAGTATATAAACAATTTAAGAAAATAAACAGTTTAAAATATGGACTCCAAATACTTAGTTCACTTTAATATAAAAAGCCTTGGAAGAAATTTTGAGGACCTGTTAATATTATTGCAAAGTTATAGGGAAACTTTCGACATTATTGTATTATCGGAAACGTGGAAAATTGAACAGGTAACTGAATTTAACATAAAAAACTATAAAGTTTATTATAACTTTTTAATCAAAACACTGGTCTAATTGTTTATATTAATAAAAGTAAAAATGCACACGTATCTACACTCAGAGAAATATCATGTCATAAAAAGCATATGAAATGATATTAATTTAAATAATCGGGTAAATTTGATTCAAATAGAAAAAAATGTAGTTTTATATTCATTTACCAACAGTTTTACAATGTTTTTAAACACTTTTAAAGTGTACTCTTTTTAAAATATATATACAAAAAGAAATCTATTTATTTCATTGCCTTTCTCAACGTTATTTTAAAAATATATTTATTATACAATTGTTATACACCTTTTAATTTAATGAGAAACACCAATGACGCCAAAACATATTTGAATCCCTTTGAATTATTAGGGATTCAAATATGTTTTGGCGTCATTGGTGTTTCCCATTAAATTAATAGGTGCATAACAATTGTATAATACATATCTTTTTGAAACAACTTTGAGAAAGGCAATGAAATAAATGGATTTCTTTTTGTATATATATTTTAAAGAGGGTACACTTTAAAAGTGTTTCAAAACATTGTAAAACTGTTGGTAAATGAATTTAAAACTAAATTTTTTTCTATTTGAATCAAATTTACCCGATTATTTAAATTAATATAATTTCATATGCTTTTTTTAAGTTGATATTTCTCTGAGTGTATTGTAAATCTAACTGACAAATCTGCTTAGAATTAATTTAACCCACTCTCTAAAAATTAATTAGTCAAAAGTGACTAATTTAATAGTTATTATTGGCTGCTTTTTCACTTGTACCATGGTTTACTATGGAATCCCATAATATCCCAAAGTTTAACAGTTAATTCTTATCTAAAATTGTCCCCTGAATCTGAAAATGTCGTCAAAAGTTAAAATAAAGTAGAAAAGTTTTTGAAATATAGTCAATATCTCAAAATTAATTAATTTTATTTATCTTATAAAAAATATAAAGATTAAATAGAAAATAAATTTATTGCTTTAAAAATATATATAAATTATATTTAATTTAATTATGTTTGTTTATTATAATTTCATGTTTGAATTTTTTTGTAAAAATCATGAAATCCCTATATTTTTAAATTAATATATATGTTACAGTCAATATCGACCCATGCAACGAAGACTATTGTAACTCAGTTTTGATTGTAGACTAGAGTAACTCAACTTAATATAGTTTTTTCCTGTAGGAATGTGGATTATTACACTTACTATACAGGGAAGTTGTTCACTGGTTGCCTATCGTTTCATGTCTAAGTTACTGTAATCTTCCACCAAATAGAGCTTGAAAAAATCTGTTGATGCCATATAGTAAGTCAAAACCCACGTTTTTTGAGTTACTATAGTCTTCGTTGCATGGGTCGATATGTAAATTTCGTAAATGTATACACTAACTAGCTAATGTATATAATAACTGATTTTAATACGTAAATGTTTTCAGAAGCGCATTAACTTATTTACCTACTTACAGGGCCGGATTTAATCATGGGCACTTTGGGCAACTGCCCAGGGCGGCAAATTTTTGGGGCGGCAAATTTTGGTGGAAAGATTCATATTTTCCGAAACATTAAAATTTGGTTACGAAGATATCATCATAGTCTGAGAATATTAGCGAAAGCTAAAATAATCACCCATTTGTTAAATCCAAACTCCTCATAATTACATATAACTAAATGTATGATTTTACAGGGCGATTTTTCTAGAAAAAAATTCATCAACTTAACTCAGTTTATCTCACACTATACATTGCGCAGTGGAAATTTGAATTTTGGCTCCGCCCGACACGGCGCCTCCCCCGTGGCTGCCATATTGTGTCGTATAATAATTTTATTTAGTGTAGTGCTGCCAAATATTACATTACCGTGTATGTACTATGTGGTATTATGTAAACAGAACAGTCTGGAACAGTCTTTTTCTACTCCTATTACGGAATATAATACAATGTAATTATATAATACCACTTTTTAATGTGGAATTGCATATATTCCTTAAACTCTTACATAATGAAATATTCTATCATGGGATCATCCCATTGGGATGGCGGAATATGGTCTAAAATATCATTTTTCAACGTTGTTCAATCATTGTACAACTTCTTTACTACGTCAACACATCGGTGGGAAATTTTGAGGTCCACTGAGAAAACCAAATTAATAACATTAGCATCTTTGTCCACTACTAGGTGGTCTGCTCGTGATGACGCTGTCCAGGTTTTGAATCAATATTTCCAAGATATAATCGAGATTTTAAAAAAGATAGAACAATCTGATACCGAAAATGCGATCACAAAACAGGAAGCTAAAGGTATTCGTGAGCAATTGGAAAAACTGGAGATTGCCTTCATGCTGGTTTTGTGGTCTTTTTTGCTTTCAAGAATTAACAGTGCACTGTTAGTCAGAAATTGCAAAGCGTTAGCATAAGCATTGGTGATGTTATCGATCAGTACCAAGGTCTCATGAAAATGATTGCCTACACTCGAACTGAATTTGATAGTTTAAGAACAAAAAGCACTTCAAATATCAACTTCTAAATTGTATGTGTCAGATTTGTCCCGAAAAAAAATTAGAAAACTACGTGCCGACGAAACAATAGACAGTGAAGTTCAATTTTCGGGTCGGGATACGTTCAGGGTCAAAACTTTCAACGTCATTTATCACTCAGACTTTGAATCATCATTGGACGATGAGTTTGTTCACTTCCACGCATTTTCTCATGCCAAAAAAATTCACAAAAAGTCTCCATTAGAATTATTGAAATCAATTCGTGAAAATGCGTTTTTTCGAATGTTGAAATCGCTTATAGAATATTCATTACTATTGCTGTAACCAACTGCAGCGCAGAAAGGTCGTTTTCCTGTTTAAAAAGGATAAAAAACTATTTGCGTTCCACGATGACAGAGGATCGCCTCAACAGCTCAGCAATTTTGAGAATTGAATCTGAATTGCTCCGTTCTTTAGACTTCGAAAACTTAATTACTAAATTTGCTAAAAAAAAGTTAGGCGAGTATTTATCTGAGAATAATGTTAGCGTTCTGACAAAACAAAATGAAAAGTTACTAGTTTCTGATTATCGTGATTGTATAGTTATTTGATATTGTATGCATAGTTTCTTATAATTATATTCGCACTGTATTTTTGTATGGTTAGTTTCCAACAATCATATTTGTATATGATATTGTGTAAAAAATAAAAACATTAATGTAAACTGATGTTAAATTCGTTGTTTGATTTTTTTTCGACAAATTCGTAGCTTTGATAAAATGGGCGGCAAGATCATGACTGCCCAGGGGCGGCAAGAATGGTAAATCCGGCCCTGCCTACTTACTAGTAGATTTTTACATTGACTTCACAAAGGTAGCAAAAGCAGTGGCGGCTCGTAAGTTCTGGAAGAGGGTGGGCACAAAAAACGTACCTACTAATTTTTGTACATAAAGTCCATTTTCCTATTTTTCATGCGAGAAACTGAATTTTCGTGTTTCTTAGCCCTCTCTGCGATTTGTTTTAAATCATCTAACCCATGTTTATTCCACGCACGTATTTTTTTTTTGAAAATTAAGCACATAAAAAAGCTTATTGATTACTGTACATCCGCATATCCACTCGTATTTTTCATAGATATTTCTGTTGAATACCCCATTGTAAGTTCGGCCTTAAAGCGGAGCGCATTTCCGTCCACTATTAGGCAACCTATATTACGGCGCGCAGCCGCATGTTTAAACAATTTAGCGCGTAATTTATGTGAATGAAATTTTTTGTGGCCTTTTCACCAGCCATCTTAATTAATAATCATTCGATCGCCGCAAAGATCCTGATAAGCCGCTGTGTTGCGTTTAAACGTGTGAACTGTTTAATTATTGCAACCGCAGTGTCTTGATCTTGCTTAGGTAAGTTATTAAGACATAATAAGGGGTCTGCTCGATAATTGATTATTATTTTAGCTTGCTTAGATTGAGTTCGTTCGCTAAGACTAATTGTAGAAGATCATCTGTTGGGTTATTAAAAGTGGAGTTGCAAGGACCCAGTGTGTTTTGTTTAATTCCTTCATCCAGCGACACCCTCCTTACACCCTGAGATAATCGGACACCTTACTGTGTTCCGCTACAACTATTTGGCTACCAACTAGGGCCTAAGCTTTTGCAGCAAGGTTTTTGGGAGGAAGGAATTTACAATGTCTACAGTAAGAACACCAGGAAGGGCAGTGACACGAAGCATGACTGCAGGAAATACAGAAGAAGGACAAGTCCACCAGCAAGTCCAACAGCCAGCAGCAGCCACCGAAACTTTGTGGCTAAACCCTGCATCCAGTAATATGGAGCCACCAACTCACTCTGCAGGAAGCCGAGACTCTCAGTCTAGAGTGAGAACAAGTCCATTGGTACCAGGTGAGCACGTTCCAACTACTACTTTTCCGGCGGCTAGCCCGTCCAGTCATTATTATGGGGGCAACACAGCATCTAACGTAAACCCAGCAGCTTCTTTGCTTGGTATGGGGTTACCACCTCCACATGCTTATGCATGGCCAAGTGAACCTAGAAATACAAGCGTGTCAAACTTACAATATGCCAATTCTAATAATGTAAACCCCAACTTTAATTGTGTTAGTAATGTTTTACCCCAATATTATGAGAATGTAAACCCGAATTATGCAAATAACCTACCTATGCAGCGAAATTTTTCAAAAATTCTTGAAGTTTTGCCCAAATTTGATGGCAATTCAGTCAACCCAGTCGATTTTGTTAATCGTCTGGAACAAACAATATCCCTTTGTGATGTGCCTTTTGCTTACATTTCACTTTATGCCCATAACTTATTCCTTGGAAAAGCCAAAATATGGGCGGATGCGTTGTTGCACACATACCCTGATTTTAATACTTTTAAAACAGCCTTTTTACAACAGTTTTGGGGGCATACAAGGCAGACGCATTTAAAACTACAGCTGGAAGTAGGGAAGTACAATGGACAACTATCGTACGTAGAATATTTTCTGTTACAAATTGCGGCCGCAAAACATCTACAGGGCTACTCAGAAATAGAACTCGTTGCTCTTGTGACTTCGGCATCTCTTATCGGTACTAGAACTATAGTTGAAGCTCTTGATAGGTTAAGGCTAGCGGAGAACTACGAAACGAATTTTGATCTGTCAAAAAGTAGTTCACAAAATAAACCAAGTAGTTCTGACTACGCAAATATACGGGGGCGCGTTGAAACGAATATACGGGAGCAGAACGGAAAATACTTTAACAAAAATTTTACCGAACGTAAATTAAATTGTATCGGCGAACCGGAGTCGTACTGCGACCTAGAGAACGCGACGGAAAACTCTTAGATTCCCAGATTCAGGGTTCTATCGGGGAATCAAAAGCTAAACGAACCCGTTTTTCAAATTTAATTATGAATAATCCTCGGGAGGATTTATTAATAGAGGGAGATTTTGACCATGTTAACATGGATTCCTCTGCGCCGATTGTGTCCATTAACATTCTCGGTTGCAGGTTCCCAGCTTTGGTGGATACGGGAAGCGAGATTTGTGCGATCTCCACATTAGTGTGGAATACGGTCGGTGAGGGAAATCGGGTGCCCATTTTTCCGGTGTCAGGAGTCAAGGTCTCGGGAGCGTTCAAAAATAAGTTACGTCGTATAACGCACCAGGCTTTGCTTCCATTTTTACTCAACCATTTTAAATTCGAGTTCGAATTTTTGTACATTCCCGATTTAGTTTTTCCGGTTGTTCTAGGCTGTGATTGGCTTAGATCGGTAGACGCCGTGCTGGACTTACAAAAAAGAATGTTAAAAATTGAACACAACCTCAAAATAATACAAATCCCGGAAATTAAGGACTCGGAAGTCTCTAAATCGTCGTCGGTGTCCATGAAGGTCGTTACGAAAAGCCGTTTTCCCCAAATTTTAAATGTAAATAAAGCAAACGTTCTAAATACAAATTTTAAAGATATAGTGGACACTTTAGGTATCCCTGTGGGTTACAAAACCAAATTTTATAATGTACTTGTTAAATTTAAAAATATTTTCTCGGATAAGCCCGGGAGGACTTCTGAATATACGCACAAAATTCTAATGCAAGACGAAACGCCGTTTTTTCAGAAACCTTATCCCATTCCGCATGCGCATCGCGCAGCCGTGCAACGGGAGATTGATAAAATGCTAGAGTAGGGTATAATCGAACGGACTACCACAGCCCCGTATTGCAGCACACTGGTCACAGCAGTTAAAAAAGACGGCAGTGTACGCGTCTGTCTGGACGCACGTTTTCTTAATAAACGGATGTTGCCAGACTCCGAGTTGCCCAGGCCAGTCGACGACATTTTGCGCACCCTACCTTCGGTACGGTACATGTCGACTATAGACCTCACCAATTCCTATTTTCAAATACCTTTGCGTCCTCAGGACAAAAAATTTACTGGGTTTTTGCATGGGACTCAAACGTATCGATTTACCGTGCTTCCTTTTGTGTTGAAGACCGCAATATCTTCTTTTTCAAGAGCAATGAGCCTCGTGCTAGGTCCGGATTTTCGAAGTTTTGTTGTAGCCTATGTAGACGACTTAGTTATTATTTCGGAGACACTCGACAATCACCTGCAGCATTTAGATCGCGTGTTTACAAGACTTTCACCAGCGGGATTTACCTTGAGATTAAAAAAATGCCAATTTTTGCGTACTGAGATGTCTCTGTTGGGTTATATCATCAGTTCGGAGGGAATTCAGTCTGATCCATCGCGGGTACAAGCTATACAGGATTTTCCGGCCCCTAAAAACCCAAAGCAGGTTCAAGCGATTTTAGGCTTGTGCAACTACGACCGTAGTTTCTGCGAAAACTTCTCGGCTCTCGCGGAGCCCATTTTTCGACTAGTGCGGAAAAAATCCAGCTGGAATTGGGGTTTGGAGCAACAAACAGCGTTTGGCGAAATAAAAAAACGTCTATCCCAGAACATCCTTTTGTTTCACCCGATTCCAGGCGTTCCATATGGGGTACAGACAGATAGCTCGGATTTTGGTTTAGGAGCGCAGCTGTTTCAGGAAGTAGATGGCCGGAAACAGGTAATATCTTACGCTAGCAGACTCCTTTTAGACCGCGAACGGGCCTATTCTGTTCCTGAAAAGGGGGCTCTGGCCGTGGTGTTTGCGCTAGATAAGTGGAGAGTGTACCTTTTAGGGACTAAATTTTCCATTTGGATCGATCATCGAGCGCTATCCTACCTAAATACTTGCCGACTCCTGGCTCCTCGGATCACTCGCTGGATTTTGGCATTGCAACAGTTTGATTTCGATATTCGTTATATTCCGGGGAGAGATAATGTCGTACCAGATATTCTATCGCGGAATCTACCTTCGCGACCTCCTGCGCCGGCCGACAAGTGTTTTAGAATCTTGGCTACTTCGATCTCTTTTCCAAAAAATTTTTGTCAAGACCTACCGTCCTTGATTCAAGCTCAACGGACCGACCCTAAGCTGTCTGATATTATAGATAACATTAAAAGCTCTGCGAATAGTGACAACAGGTTCATAATTCATAATGAATTACTTTTTATGCGTCGCTCAGAGGATCAGCCGTGTCTTATCTGTGTACCGCATGTTTTAATCCCGGATTTTATTCTGGCCTTCCACGAGACCCTGGGTCATTTTGGGGTATTCAAGACATGGGTGGCTCTTAAGCGCGAGGTATGGTGGCAGAATATGCATCGAGATATCAAACGGGTATTACGTTCATGTGAATTGTTCCAGAAAACCAAGCAGTCGTCTATGCCTAAACCTCCTATACCAAATCGAGTAAACGAGTTCCTATCCGTAGATTTCTACGGCCCATTACCCAGATCTAGGGCCGGAGTGACATACATCTTTGTGGTTTTAGATGTTTTTTCTAAATACCTGAGCCTCTATCCCCTTAAAAGAGCAAACACATGTAGTATTATTCGTTGTTTC